AGAATTCAGGTCAATAAATTAGAATTGAATGAAACAATCGAGAGAATTGGAGCCGAAACGGTGGAAATCATAGAATCCCTCAAGGTCGGGTATTTTCGTTACATGATTCAGAAGAAACCGTATTACGAAGAAATAACCAAGGAGTACAAGAAACACAAAAATATGACGAATGACCTAAATGATCATAAATTAAAATTGGAAAACGGGGTGGGGATAAATGAAGATGCGGACTTTTACCGGAAGTTGAATGAATTGACGGCATCTCCAATTTTGATGATGATGTGTGAGTGGTTAGAGGATTTAGAAATTAACCCCGTGATTTTTGTACCCTATAGAAACCTCGAGCATAAACTGAACGACAAAGCAACACAGTTTTATTATTTGCACATCAAGAATCTAGATGAAAGAGTTGAAAATAATTTAAACGAGTTTAGAAGGCATGTTCTGCATGACAGAGATAAGATTCTTCAAGATTTGTTTGATACTATTAGTCAAACATACGATATAACAAATGAGCAACCCGTCCATGATGACACCGAAGAAATCATTGATGTTCACCTAACGAATTCAGAACATCAAGATAGAAAAGATTATTCGACCAGTTGCAATGATATTTTAGAGCTTTGGTCAAAGGGTTTTTTGAACGAGATAATTGAGCAAACGGAAGAGCCAGATGAACGTAGCGAAAATTATGAACATGGTGAACACGAACATGCATTTCATGACGAGGTTAGGTCGCGAGATAAAGCTCCTCGATGGTGGAAATCTTATAATCTCTATTCTGCACATCGAACCTCCAACAACCAAGGTACCATCGGATGAGGATGATTAACTTGTTTAAAAAAAATGATGTGACAAAAAATTTACCAATTATTCACATAACAAGGATTCCACGTGCAGACAAAATAAAATAAAGATGAAGTGAGTTCCTCACTTCTGGTAGAGTTTAATATATAAAGTACATAAGAACATTTATTATAACGCTTAAATATGCTTGAAATCAAAGAATGCATTAATATCTGTAAAACCTTAATTAAACAATGGGATGAACATATCACATCCATTCACGCATCATTATGCATTGTAGGCACGTGGATGCAGAATGCTAAAAATAATGTTTCGTAGTCTTACATACAGTGAATAATAACCTTAAAGCTTATAAAGTTTCGGTGAAAACCGAGATGAAAGATTACAATCCTTAGAAAATAGATTTCATATGAAGATGCAGTAGATCAAAACATCGGGGAAATTCTTCGTCCACGAAGTAGTTGATAAGGGAAAAATCAAAACAATGAAGGTTCCTCATCCACGAAATAATCAATGAAAGATAGAGATGAAACTTCGTTGGAGGGAAAAGTGGGTAAAGGAGATGAAGAATGGGAGTTGGAAGAGGATGGTAAATATGATGCAATGGAATTCAGGAAAATTGTAGAAGAGAGTGAGAGCTCAGGGTTGATGTAAGTGCATCCCAAAGATGATTGCATGTTTGGAGGCTCGGTCAAATACAGCATTTCGTGGTTGGGTTGAATGTGTGGAGAGAGCGATATGGAATCAGAAGTTAGCGAAGGCAAGGAGAAGTGCGAACGTCCGAGAACTTGAGATTGCGATAAAACGCGAGAAACTGGAGTCGTGGAAGCAGGATAAGATTCGAGCGTATTTGACGGTGACACGTCTGATCTGACGGAACCAAAAGAAATTCCGTCTCTAACATCGACCTCATCAAGATACCGTGGTTGCACGTGAAAAAAGGTGAGATCGGTTTTTTTCTTTGGCTGGAACTTGTAATCCGGATACTTCAACATGTGATTCTTCTTGGCTAACAATGACAAGGCTTCGAAAAGCTTCTTCACTCTCACATCTTGCTTTCTCCAAATTTCCGCCACTTTCTTTGATGTTTCCGAAGTGTGCGACTTCTCCTTCTCCAATTTCATCTTTGCGGCCTGGTTTTTTCGGAAGATGAAGAATGGATTTGGCGAACGGGGAATTGTATACGGTGTTCTTTTCGACGCACGTTTCATCTCCGGTGCCTTCGTGAGTTCTTCAACGGATAGGATTAGGGGATAAGGAGGGTCGCGAAGGAGTTCAACCGTTTCCGAAGAATTTAACAATTCATCGATATAAACCAATTCTTGGGTATAGGACATTTTTTATTCGGTAAACTGGGGAGACGAAACGAGAATATTTTATTCAATGTGTCAGGACCGGAGGGTGAGGATTCTGAGCTTTCATGATCCCGACTTTATATACAATTTTGGATTCTAAACTTTGACATTTCCTTGATTTCCAACAGCCTGAAGTAGAACTCCGGAAAGAGCAAACATTATAAGAGACGCCGGTAAAAAAAAAACAAAGAATACAAAGGGGTAGGAACCCACCGCAGGTGATTTAAGACCGTTTTTCTATAAGTGATTTGATTGACGCGTTTTTGCGTATTTAAATTAATGCACCCAAATTTTCCCGTCACCAATACATCTTTCACACATTCAATTATTTTTAGTAATACAAAAATAAATTCTCCAGGGTGACTCTGAGATGAAGGTTAAATTTTAATATGCCGTATTGTTACATCGTCAATGAGGCAATGCTAGGTAATCCCATTCAATTGCATCATAAGGTTCCAACAATTCGTTTTGCGAAATCTACCAGATGAAAGGGTTTTTAGTTTAAATTAATAAACGTGTTTTCTTTTAATAAAGGGAATCGTTACACGAGAGTTGTGAAAAAGTTTCAGGAAGTCGAAAAATAAAGAGTCACTTTATAAAAGCATCACGCCGAATTGCATCAATGAGGTTTCTAGGGTAATACATTGCTTAAAGAGCATCATATGTTTACCCAAATTAGGTGGACAATTATTCTCTCTGTTAGGAAAAATAAAATTTTTTGGACGAATCGTTATTTTTGTTGAATTGAAACAAAACACACATACACCACACACGCACACATAACAACAACAATAAATTACAAAAGTTCTTGCAAAAAGCGAGATCATCTGAGATTCGAATAATAATCATAGTGAATTTTATTAAGCCAATGAACATAGCATGTAGCTACTACCATACAATAATACAAGAGCGACGATTTTGAAGACTTTTGGAATTTTTCAACGGAGTTTCGTTGTACGTATATCATATATGCGCTTAGGTTGTATATTCAGTTCTTAAAATGGACCATCGTCGCATATTATGAAACAGTTGACGATTCTAAATCAAAGCTTATGTTTTTAAATTATTTGACCGCTTGCATGTTTCGTGATTACGGCGAGAGCTCAGGCGTTAGCGTTATACGAAGAGTTTTCTGTTTAGTTCCGAAAATTGAATCACATAGATTCGCTTAAACTCGCATAAATAGAAAAGACATGTGGATTTTAATTCATATAATAAGATTTACATTAGACGTTGTTGATTCGAATGAACCCAAAAATAGAATCTTGATTTTCTTGGTGCATTTCGGTGTTTGAATTATTACGACATTTGATAAATTTATCTAATTATTCATCGGCCAATCGCTTCCGTGCAAGTCAAAATTACAAGACATGTCAGTCTCGAAGGTGTCTGGAGTCGAAAAAGCGTATTGTAAGGATTCAAGGTATGTGGGATTCATGTTTACATTACTGTCCGGAGGACACACGTCGATAGGATTATAAAAAGTTTCATTTCTCGTGTTTGAAACCTCGACCGGATTAAACGTTGATTGCGCCTGCACGACGCCAGTATCATCGATAATAAGATTTGGATAAAAACCGTAAATTGATGGATCGAAAATAAAGGGCAATGAACCATTGGACGCCGAGTCTATCGGTGTTCTACTTGTCGACGGGAATGAATCGGAAAAAAAAGGTTTGTATTGCGCATTGACCGTAGAATCAACTTCCGTGACGCATTGATACATTAGATTCGATAACGGACTTGTTATCTCAGAAGGTTGTGCGAGACTAGGGAGGTTGACTGTTGTATTTGAATTCTGAAGTGAGGCATCCTGATTAACCTTTCTTTTTGACTTGGACCGACATCTTTTACCATTGCTTCGGTCACTTCTGGGATTATATTTATAACCGGGGTATTGCTTGTTGTGATTTTCTCCCTGTATTTCGGCCAAAATCTTGAAAAACAATTTGACCATGGTGTCTTCTTTCTTCCAATGTTCCGAAGACATTTTGGATATATCCTGAACCTTCAGGTTTGGTTGAGTAAGTTTAATCTTTGCGCCAAAATCTTTTCGATAAAGAATATATCCATTGGGTGGTCTTGGAACCTTTAGCTCGAGCGAATCCTTCTTGCACCTTTTTTTATCCGAAGGCTTGGTAAGTTCTTCGATTGTCAAAGTTAGCTCGTAGGGAGGATTACGAAGCAACTCGTGTTCTAATTTCGAGCCCAAAACATCATCATGAAAGATGAGTTGATGACGTGTCATTCTTCTTTGTTATGAAGGGAACGAATATAATGTTGAACGAGAACAAAAATAACAGGAAATCGAATATAATTATTTTACGAAGAATTACAAGGATTCTTTATCGAGTGTCTCAAGCGCCTTTTATAAAAATTCCAAATAGTAATATTATATAGTGTCAATAATGGTACCAATTGAAAAGGAGATTTGGTATATATAAATGAATTAATGCACGGAGCTGTAATAGAAGGTGAAAACGGACTTGATGTTTTCTGAACGTCCGATCTACCTTTAAAAACATGACCGTAACCTGAAGTGGATATCGGAAATTTTGGCAATTCTCTTATAATTATGTGTAACGGTCGATAGATAATCTCATTCGTTAAAATTTTTCCGAACCGTTTGGAGTAATGATCCACAATTGGTTACCGGAGGACTTCTCCATCTCTATACAATGTCAATGGTTCCCCCAGATTTCCCGAGAAGAGAGTTAGAAACAAAATAAAAAATAATAGGGGTCTCCAAAAATGTCACCGGATAAACTTGTCCACCGTCGCTCCAACATTGTCAGATTTTTGTTTACCACATCCAACCTTAAATGGCCATCAAATAATTTTATCTCGAAGTTCATGTTCCGTCGGCCGATTGAGAATGTAATTTATTGTGATGGAAACACGTGTATCAGTATTTACACAGGGGGTGAAAATCTTTTAAAACCTATCCTCGCAAAAACCCAGCCAATGAAGAATAATCGTTGAGGAAAAATAAAAGACGCCAAGAAGCGAAAAAAAAAAATAAATAAATAAAAACAAAAAATAGAATATATTAAAAAAAAAAAACAAAAAAAAAAACAAGGTTAATGGTAGTGTGGTGAACTTGTTTGTCCAACGTAAATCAATTTAACTAAATTCATGCGCGGTGAACTTACCCGGAATTTCCTCACGGAAGAGAAAGGATACATATTGCCAGAATAGCTTAAAAAGGAAACGAAAAAAACTAAGCAAACCACATGACTTTGCATTATTACATGTGACAATAGATGGTATCATTTGCATGAGCAAATAAAAATCAATTCATAATTCATAATTCAAGCAATTGTTAATAAAATTATAACATTAACATTATTATTATTATTATTATACAGTATATCGAATAAGGTTTTGGTTTTTTTTTTTTTAAAGATTAAAAATAATAATAATCGATTGTTTCCATTTTTATGTTTTCCCGATACCTAAAAGAAAAAAGAATTACGTTGTATTCACGCATGCACCGTAATTGCACGAAAAATTGATTTTGTTGGGACAACTTAATTGCTTTATTATACGCTTATGGTTAAAGTACGCATAAAGTGCCTAGATCTTTAAGTCTGGATTTGTGTAGAATAAAGAAAGTTTTTCCTCAATGACGAGAATGCAAGTGGAAGATACTGTAAATTAAAATTTTTATTTTGTCTGCCAACCTTATTTGCGAAAATCATACAATCCTGGTTTTGAAATGAATAAGGAAATTGAAAATCAATATATAGGCGTACTCTGTATTTACGTAAACTCCGCTTCGGCTTCATATAAACTCGGTTTCATATAAACTATGGATCGTCGCGTGGCACCGTTGGTGACGCCATTAATCAATGGTACGTGGCAAAGGGTGCTACGCCAATTCCACATCTTTCTAATTTTATATAACTATGACGAATTTTAACCCGGTTACTACCGGATTTCATTTTATTCACTATATGTAAATGAGTGTCATGACGTTATGAAAAATTGCTATTCTGTCACTATTGTCTACACTGTAATACAAGTTGCCTACACATATACGGTATATATAAAAAGGCTTCCAAGGGGATTCTGTGGATCAACTTATTATTTCTTTATTAACTTTCAAAACTAAAATGGCAAAAAGCGTCGAAGACTTCAAAGACTTTCCTCCAATCCAGAAAGCCATAAAGCTATCAACGTCGTTGGTTTGTGATCTAAGTGCACAGGAAGTTCAAGAACGCCTGAATCAACTTAAACGTTCTATACACATTCAACTTATCGGTTCGCAACATGGGGAAAAGGCGCATCACTGGCCTACACTCTGGGCACACATCAAGATGTGTATGATAGACCTGAAATATTGGGAAAGGGGAAATGGCCATCCCGTGGATAGGTTATCCGAGAGTTACATTAGGATGGAATTTTTGCGACTTTATTTTGAAATTGGTAATCTTTCGAGGAAGAAACAGTTAGAAGGAATAGTGAAAGATCTCCTGGAGATCCAAATGATAGTAGAACAGACAAAGAACAGACTGTGAAGAAAGAATCTTAGAACTTTGGCATATTCAATTCTCCAATAGTCACTTGTCAAACACGCATAAATTACCACCATTCATAAAATACATTCCCCTTCATAGAAAAAATTAATATACTGTACAAATCCACTAGATTTATATTATATTACAATTCATGGTTGTAATGAATCTCACCATATAATATTTAATATTCATAAACGATCTTATATTCATTATTACCCTATCTACATGTTGTTTCTACGAAAATCCAGGATTGCAACTTTACGAACCCTCAAAAGAAATTCAATACTTCAATTAGGCACAATCACACCCGCACTCAATTTTTACAATTCAGGGATATTGACTATTATTGGTTTATGACCGTTAAACTCGAGTTATACAAAATTATGGCATGCTACACGTACGTGCGTATGTACTCGCGACAAATGCACAGGAAAGCGACGGATGATCATGTGTGCATCGCTTAGAACGAATACGGTGCTGTATTTTGTGTTTGGAATTCATGCAGCAGTACAATACTGGTATCCGTCAAAATACAAGTGTCAATTCTAAATTTGTACTAATCTGGTAATTGACCAGTTGAAAATTTTGTTGGAATGCCAATGATATATTGTACCTGAATTCATATAACAAATTCCAAATATTCCTTCGAACTTCTTTTTGTTTACCACAAAGACAATAATTGAAAGCAATAAGCCACAATATGTCCCTAAATTATGTAGCATATAAAATTCAGGTCCCCTTGTTAATGTCCAATAATTTTTTATACACTGCAATTTCATATATTGCACAACATATTAAAAATTCTTTGTAAATTCAAATGGTTTAATATATCGTGTAAATAAAGAATCTCGATAAATAATGTATTGTCGATATCTTGATATTTGTCAAAGATTGCTTTTATCATGAATTAATCGCTGTTCCAATATTAGACAAAAAGTCGTTTTTTCATTATCTTTAAATTAAAACACTATAAATAAAAAACCTTTAAAACCATAACATAATATTACTGTAAATATTGGATAAAAATAGGTTTACTAGATAAGGCAATCTAATTACTTTTTGGTTAATAATATTTTTAAATATTTAAAACGTTAACAATATTGTTTTAATATTCTAAAAGATCATCTATTTTTAAATTCTTTCTTAATTAACAATCATTTGATTATAAAATACACCAGTTCCAGTCACAAAGTAACAATAATTTATTATCTATCTACTATTATTATTAATTTAATATACAGTATTATTTGGTTTAATGCAAATGATATTAAAACATAAATTTATATATTATATACTTAAATTATAAAATATGTTATATATAATTTTTTTTAAAAATTTTTATTATTCTGATTTTAAATTTAGGCTTTATCTTAATACATTCATTATTGATTTTCATTAGATAACAATTAATGAATAAATTAATTTTAAAAATTTTTTTTTACCTTATATTAACATTCAATAATATAATAAATTGATTTTTTTATTTTTGTAAATCTTTAGGAATCTTTATTGATCCAATTTTATAATAATTTAATATAATTATGTTTACTAAATCATAAAATATTATTTATTTATTTTTTTTTATTTAAAATAACAAATTTAAGTTCTGTTAATTTATTATCTATTAATTTAAATTTAAATTAAAAATAAATAATAATTGATATATTATATAATAAAAATTTATCATAAGCTAAAAATTATTATTTTTTAAGTAATTTTTTTCTTAGATAAATATTATTTCTTTATTTGATATTGTATATAATAAAGTATATATCATAAAAGAAACAATATCTTTTACATATATAAATAGCAACTTGCTTATATATATATACCTAATTAATATTGAAAAAAAAATTTAAAACAATATTATATACTAGTTGTGTCTGAATAGCAGTTATGTTTACTTACTCAAAAGTTTTTTTGTAAATTTGTAAATAAAGTAATTGAGAAAAAAAAAATTAAACATAATTAAAATTAAAATTAAATAAAGTAAACTATAAAATTTATAACTAAAGAACTATATATGTTGCTGAAATTCATAGATCCTTGATGCAATTGACACAATTATTTGACGCAATTAATTGAATCACTATTAAAACATATAAATAATTGAGTCATGACACAATTATTTTTGAGGATTTTGG